TATGTGATGTTGGTTATGATCAAAGTGGTGTGGTTATGAGCAAAATGGTATTAGTTATGAGATATGTGACTAGTAGTTATGAGATATGTGATGTTAGTTATGAAAAAAAATGTGTTGATTATGAGATATGTAACTAGTGGTTATAAGATACGTAATGCTTGTTATGACTCAAAGGGGTTAGTTATGAGATGTGGTTTGTTGGTTATGAGATGTGGTTATGAAATATGTGATATTAGTTATAAACAAAATGGTGTTGGTTATGAAATGTGGTTATGACTAAGTTATGATCAATTTGATTATAGTTATAAAAAAAAAATGATTTTGGCTCATAACTATAAAAAGTAATCTGTTTAGCAGGTCACTTTTAATGATGTGGCTCAATCTTAGCTATTGATTTTCTATGTACCGTACATTTTGAAATGTATTATAGACTTTCCCATTACGACTTATATTTACAAGCTATCAACCGAAGCATTTGTTTTGAATCATGATCTTGTTATAAAGTTGGGACTCAATTTTTTTTTTTGCCAAAATTATAGCGCACATGGTAAACATTGGGATTCGTGCCTTGGTAGAATATATAAAAGATGAAGCACTTGTTTTGAATTTATAATAGGCCGTTTGGTAGAACCGTGGGAAAGTGATTATAAATTTTAACTTACAGCTGTGAACATAAGCTGGTAATCTGTTTGGTATAGTTGTGGGATTATGAATTTAAGCAGTAGAGTAGTGTTTGGTAAATAAACTGAAAAATAACTTTTTATTGTGTAATTGTCTTTTTTGCCCTTATGAACATAGAATTTGTAATTTTGTCATTTTCTTCTCCTTATTTTCTTTTCTCTTTTTTTTTTCTTTCTTTTCTTTTTTTTTTGTTAATTTTGTTTAATTTATTAATTCATTACAATTAATATCAATTACTATCCATGTATTTATTTGAAAACGACTTCACAATATTAAATTAGATATTACCTGTGCTGTAATGTTTTTTTAATTTTTTCTTGATTTGGTTGAATTAAATATACAAATCATATTGACTATCCTCCCAATCTGCCATGAACACCTGGACCCAAATTCTCTTTTTAGAGATAAATGATGAGCCATCTTTAGAAATCACTTTTGATCATTTGGTACCATCAATTGCAGAGAAACTGATAAAAATGTAGAGGAAAAAAAATTATACCTTCAACTTCAAAATTTGAACTATAAAATTTGAACAAATGACATTCACCTAATAAAAATTGCACCTGAGAATAAATGTCACCCACCCACCCACCATTCAACCTTCATTAAACTAACAACATCATTATCATCGGTAGTAATAACATGAACAACAATAGTATTGGCAATAATGTTAAAGCACAGTGAGTTAGTTTACAACTGCAAATAAGTTACATCACGGCATTGGATCATCTCACATGATGAAAAACAACCTTGCAGCACATATAGTAAATGCAAAGATGACTTTGTCTTGAAATATCGTCAATAAGTTCTCCAAAATTTGACCAATGACAATTGCCCTGTAGCACAAAATAAAATTAAAAAAAAAATTAAAATACGTCAAAAGGGATTTGAAGGCACATTCCTTCATTTGCATAGAAATTAGGGAAATGATGCCATATCTGGTGTCGAATACAGAAGCATAGCAAAATGGTCATTAAACATAAATTTTAATGATGTCCATAAATACTCATTTGTTTATGAAACACATGCAGCAAATAAAAACCATCTGAAGCTGAATTGTGAACTCTTGCAAGCGGATGTTTGCTTACCAACCAAATGGTGCAGCCTTCTGGAAGAGAAAACCTTGAAGCAATCTACACAATTAGCATCTTGATTGACTACGTCACGCACCCTTTAGTTTCATGATTTCTTTTTCTTTCTTGCTTTTCCTGGGATGGGTTTAGATTTGTTTTGCTTGAACTTCTCAATCATAGAGTAAACCTGCATCAGAAAGATATTTGTACATAATCCAAATCAAACAAATGTGGGAACCTATAATAGGCAACCATTAGCATTTTCCATGTTACCTTTCTTACTCCAGATGTTAATCCCATGCTTGAAAGGGTCTTGCTATCGACAGATTTCCAAGACATAGTTTTGTTGTCTGCTTTTTCATGCAAAACATACATCCCACCTTCATGCCATCACAAGCAAAGAAAAGTCTAAATATAACACACAGCTTACTCTAGATTGAAAGACTTCTTCAAAAACTTATCAATAGCATTTCTCCTCGTGGCCAAGTCAGTCTCTGCCCCCAACAGGACAGATGGAAACTCCCAGACGCCAGCAAGTAAACCTTCATCTGGCCTCTTCACAAGGAGAAATCTACCATCAGATTGAAGTTCCTCTATCATATGGTTCTCCCAGTTTTTTCCACAGAAATCACAGGTTAAACTATAACAGTACACATACATTCACATGTTCACACTTGCATAACATAATATATGTGTATATATGCAGCATATATCAAACTTGTAATACCATAAATCCAAATCTGAATAGAAAATGAAAGAATCTAAGCAATACCCATGAACAGAATCAAGAAATTCAGAAGTAGAAACATTTATATACACAGAAACAGCACAACAGACCTAGCCAAACCCAGTAGCTTTGGCTTCTTCAAATGAAGCATCCTATCATCTTGATCCTCCAAACTCTCTTCGTACACTCTATTCTACTCTCCTGCCTCTAGAACTTTCCATTCTTAGAAAAACTAACCCACCTCCCAAGATATAGTTTTCTTTCCAGATTAAGCAAGAAAACCAAAGATTTGTTTGAAATTTCAAAAACCCAGTTCAGAAAAACAACTAAATAACAAAGAAGACTACTTTTCAAAATTGGGATGAATACCCAAGAACAGAGAACCCCCAGATTTTCTATCCTACAAAAAAGGATAAACCCCTAGAACTCGCACACCATTTCACAACCAAAAAAAAAAACCCTAAATCAATGTGTATATATATATAACATACAAAGGGCATGAAATCTTACCTTTTTTGTGCAGATCAACGGAAAACAAAGGGCCAAACTGATCGATCGGCTGCGATCTTCGCGATGTGGAGGAGTCGTCGTCGGTCGCCAAGAGGAGAGGAGAGGAGAAGCAGAGAGGAGAGTAGCGTGAGAGGAGAGGAGGTTGGGGCAACTAAGAAGACGGTATATATCATGGCAGTTTCGTAATTTCTTCAATTTTGGAGGGATATTTAAGTCATTTTAGCCTCCAATATCAGCTGGAAAAATGCTTGGGAGCACTAATTAGTGCTCCCACTAATTAGGTGGCAGTGGGTCCCGTCATTAATGATGTGATGTTTTGGTCTTGGAGTTGTATTTATTTTTATTTATTTTTTTTTTTTTTTTTTTTTTTTTTTACTTTTTTAATGCATTAGTGCTATTAGTGGTGATATTTTTAGTGGGATGAATCATTGTTGTATCAACTGCGCACATAAGTTGAAGGGAGCTTCTATTTACACACACTCATTCCCCTCTTTACATATCTTTTTCAATAAATAATTGGTTCGGAGGTAGATTTTCAAAAATAAGCAATTGGTTCGAAAGTAGCTTTTCGAAAATAAACAGTTGGTTCGGAAGTAGACTTCCGAATTTTTATTATTTTTTCGACATTCAACTTCCGAATGTGTTTATTTGATGTCTATAATAGTAATTTCACTTAAAAAAATTATAATAAAAATAACTTTTATGAAGTGTGTGCAAGGAGGGGAAGGTGGATGTGTAAATAGAAGCTCCCTAAGTTGAATTTTTTAAGCACCACTGGAGCAGCTTTGGAAAATAAGCTAAAAATAGCTTAACTTAAGCTATAATCTGTTGAGTTAAGTTACACCAAACATAATATTTTAACTTAAATTAAGTTAAAAGTTGAAATAAGCAGCTTTTAAGCTGTGCCAAACAGGCACAATAAGCTTACCCTAAAAAAGGTGTAACAGTGAGAAAGGGAAAACAGCATACTACTAAAATTATAAGGCACAATTACTAATCAATATACCTCTCATGATGATAGCATTCAGCCAGCTCACAATCAAAATTTCAGCAAAGAAGTTAGATGAATTGTGAAACAAAGAAAATGAGTTACCAATTAGCCTCAGCTTGTAGATAGCACATGCACACACACCCCAATGAAGAGTTGTTAATTTCTGCCCTAAAATTGACCATATAATACCTATGAAGATACTATCTTAGGGAAAACCATGGTCGCATTTGGTAGTGTGAAGAAACTTCATGACACCATATGGCGTTTCATTACTGAGCCCAACATATCTGATCTAATAAAACATCTTCGACTATATTAGGAAAATTAGAAATGACATGGGTATAGAGATAATGGCTACAAAAGCAGCAAAACCCCTAATAGCTCTAGGAATGGCAACGGGCCGGGGGGAGGCCGAGGATTACACTCGCTATCCCCGATTCCCGAAGGTATCACCGTCTCCGTCCTTGTCCCCACCCCCCCTAACGGGGATCAAGTTTTCCCAACCCCAAAAAATCCCCGAACGCATATATACTTATCGGATTCCATGGAAACATGAGTGAACGTAATAAACTGTGGATTGATCCCTATGCTAGACAACTGCATCAACACAGCTCGCAACAAACAAAGACCACAATCAAATCCCCATCATTACGAAGCCAAAAATTCTCAATACCAAAAAACAAATTCTCAATATCAGTTCGAAACACAACCGTTTCTTTCAAGTTAGCAAAGAATTCCAAGTTAAAGAAGTGGAATATGAAATTTACCGTGAGGGCCTCTCTCATGCTGATCGGAGCATTAGTGGCCGCTATGGTGGCGAGATCGAACCTCCGAGATCAGAACTTGAATCTACGAGAGAGAAACCGATTGAGAGATTCGAATCGCTAAGATCTGAGACAGCAAAGCAAACCTTGAACCCTCTTCGAGAAATAAAGAGAGATAGTGAGAGATCTAGAGAGAGAATTAGAGGGTTACGAAGAGAGAAAGAGAGAGAGAGAGAGAGAGAGAACTGAGCCTTCTTCTTCCAACCTTGGGAAGTGGGGAGATCAACGGAGATGATGTCGGGTTCAAATTGCCATCCCTAGACAGCTCCACTAACCTTACCAATAGCTCTGCCTAGAGCATCAAGCTGTTCCTCTATGTCTATTGAATGAAACTATCGAATCGGATCAAACTCAGTTTCTCCAAACATGGGAACGTAGCTACATAAAAAGCAATGAAGCACTTCAACAACAGTGGAGTGGAACAATTGAAAATTTTGAAATAGAAGTTCATTTGGCAACTAAATGAGAAATCTATCCATGATTTCCAAATAGAAAATGTGTTTATCTATTTGTTCTTTATTACCAACACAGTATAACTGAATCTGAAAAACGCATTATAGTTCAGAAAGTACACCAAATAAAACCAATGGCCCAGTAATTTCCCATGAAAATGTTGAAGAAAATGAGCAACTGAGTATTTATGAAGATTAAAAGCTCAAAATAATAGTATCATAATCAACCACATTTCATAAAACTCAATAAAAACTAATAAACACAAAAAGTAGTAGTAGTTAACATTCTAAACTAATGATCATTATCACATACATTATTAAAAAGATAAAAATTCTATGTCTCAGATTTCCCAACCAGGACATCAGTTAAAATATTTTAGTCAACCACACTATAATCTACAAAATGCCAAGTCAACTTCATTGCTTCAAGAAACACAAATACCAATAAATAGCTTTAGTTTTTTTGTTTGTTTTTTTTTGTTATTAATTTCTTACTATTATAAATACCCTCATCTTCAATTGATTATAATGTCCCATCATTTAATGAACCTGCAATCATTAACTACTCAAGAGGTTCACCCAATAACAATGAAAAAAATGATTTCCCACAAGAAGGAAACAGGCCCCTACTTTTTCATCAAGTTAATACAATTTAAAGACAACACAAAGCTGATGCTAAATTTCTAGCTATTTAAAGAAGAAATGCTGCAAGAAGAAGAGGAAACAGGACTCAAGTTTAAGAAAAAAATCCTCTCTTAAACAATCTGTTCAAAAGCCATAACTTTTATTATTATTATTATTATATCGTAAACAAAATTATTTCAATCTTTTTTTTTTTTGGGATCAGCAATAAAAGAAGAATTTTATTAAAAAGGAGAAAAGAGAAGTACAAAGGAGGACAAAAAGTCCTCAAAAGCAAAAACCAAAAAATCTACAAAGGAAAAAACAAGAAGTCCTCAATTTTTTTTTTTTAATTTCAATTTACTATCCAATTAAGGAAAAACAAGCGGTTCACAAATCAATTGTCACTAACAATTTAAGAAACATATATTGAGATTTTCATCATCAATTTAAGAAATAGAATGTTTCCATATTGTTGAAAATTCCAAAGATTCTCTAATAAATGGACAAAATTTGAAAGGTATTGTCATATTGATAATTAAAATTAAAAAGGAAAAAAAAAATTGATGAAAACCAATAATATGACACATAGATTTTTACATTGTAAAAATTATAAAAATTGAGAAAAATAGATTGAAGTTTTCATCAATAAAGACCTTACAATGTCTTTGCTTCTATTATATAATGTATTCCCAATTGTGTTGTAATTCTAGTTCTAGTTTTAAGACGTAAACTGTAGAAACTCTTTATCATAAAATATATGCTCTTATTTGTAATAATCTAATCATTTTTATTTTATGTTTTTGGGAAAATATTCATCAAATAATTAGAGTTTATACTCCTACTCTTTTTGGAATTGGAAACAAAAACTAATTTCTCATTCGTCTATGTTGAAATTTTCAGCAATTAATCACAACATCAACAATAGTCAACACATTAACGATATTTTAACTGAACACGTTTGTCAATAAACATGGCATTCAAACTACAAAAGCTAACAAATTGAAATCAATTCCTAAACAGTAAACAAAAAGCTCATAAAGAGTTGTTCAATACAAATCTAAACAAGATCAAAACCAAAACAAACATGTAAACAAATAGATTAGAACTTACCTCCAATGAGAAAGTTGGGGTTTCTTTTCTCAAAGGAGTGGATCTTTCCACCACCGCCGATCAATGATCGGATCAGTCAAGAACCTGAAAATAAAATAAGGATGATTATTCAATCAATACATAGAGATAGATATATAAATTCATATATATACTTGTATAGAGAGATTTTTAGGAGAAGAAAAATTATCTAAAAAAGGTCAGATAATGTGTACGCAGATATAGAGAGAACGAGATTGTATGAGAGAGAGACAGAGATCAAGAGAGAGATTGAGAGATCGAGATCAAGAGAGAGAGTCAGCGATCGAGGGAGAGATTGAGAGATCGAGAGAGACAGAGATTCATACCGGTGTTCTTTAGACAACG